ATTAGCCATCACACGAGTCATTTCGATCTCGTTTGCTCCGGATATCACCATTTGAAGTTGGACAAGCAAAATTGCCAATCAACCCCAAAACAGCTCCAAATATCCTTCACTCTACGAGTTACTACAGAGAAACCACTCACTCAATTGCTCTAAAATTTTTATACCATATACTAGACACCTCAAGCTTCAATTTTACATATCATACACTTAATTTTATCGAGAAACGAAGCGGAAATAAAATTCTCAAAAACTGCTAGAAACAGCCCCTGCATAGGTGCGTTCTGGACAGTCCGTGTTCACAGGTTTCTACAGAGCTGTGTGCTACCTTGACATTCCTCATATTTAAACGCAATATAGGGGACATCTCAAGCTTTAAAATGGCGTATGACACGTCCCTATCAGACCTCTGTGGAGGGAGATATGCTCTCCCGAAGTTCGTTTAAATTCTGGCAATTCTACAGAAAATTAGCCAGAGTTTCCTTTGTTTTTCCTAAAATTCCCAAATTTGTAATTGTTTTCTAATACCTCAAATGTATCTAATAACCAATGGGTGGCACACACAAGGACCAACAATGCCTTGGGGCACTTACAACCCAACTCAGTTTATAGTTATTACACAATATATACCATATGACTCACTTTATAAATCATTAACTTGTTTCAAACACCAATGTCCATTTACATGCAATTTCTCAATATACAAATAATTATAATCCTAAAATAGGCCTAAAGCCCTTCCATCATATTACATCATGTATCCATTGTACAATTGCAACATTTCACTTACATATTACAACTTACAACTTCATAACTTTAATTACAACTTGAAACATAAAGCTTAAAAGACATATACAACTAGACTTAAGCAAAATGACATGAACAAATATGACTATGAAACTCATCCTACATACATATGGGATGTTCATGCCCTAAGTCTTGCCTAGGCCAAATGGCCATCAAAATGCAAAAGTGCAAGTCCTCCAATGACTTATCCTACGAGCTTCTTGCCTGCCGCTCCCGTGCCACTGCTACCTCCTGAAATAAAGCCCCCAAGACGAGGTGAGATATACGAATATATCTCAGCAACCCAGAGGTTCTGGAGAAAACTCTGTCCAATGGCTCACTTCGATGCATATAAATAATATAAAATAACCACTTTTCAAAACGGGATAAAGCAAGTGATTTAGAGAAACTGGGGAATATAGGAATACAAAATACGACGAAGCGGGAATGGTAGCTACCAATACCACGCAACGTCCTCGGCATATAAGCCTATGGGTCTCATCCAAGGCATGTTCTTAGAACATCAACCAAGGTACTCCTTCCATCCGCATACACCTGAGACTTCCTAGTGTGCTCCTATCCGGATCACACAGCACGACCCTAGGTCAACTGGAACTCCCTCTCGGAGACCTATCCAGTGTAAGTCTGAAACGCCCGAAGGCAACATTGTCTACTGGCCAGAGACTCGGTACCTATGTACCAACATACATCTACATGCATGATCATGTTATTCTACACTACTCATATACATTTCCTACCATCACCCTCAACGGGTATGGTGGAACACACAAGGGTAACAAGCCCCAGTACCAAGAAGTTACCTCAATGCGTTTCTCCACTTAGCTCCAAGAAGTTTATGTTCCAAGCTTGTTACTCAACAGAATGCCTACACAGAGGACATTCCCAATTACTCAAAACTAATACGAACACATGCCAGTTAACAATTATACAAGTATGATTCAACCACTTACCTCAATCCCACTTGGTCCAAGACCAAGGGCAATCCACCGACTCACGGTTCGGGGTTCAAATCGACGTACGGAAACCTACAATAACAATGTATGAACCGTCAGTACACGACAATTCTATCAAAATGTGAAAAACGTCAAAACCCCCTTACACCCTTGTAGGTTCGGCCTTCTTAGGCTTATTTCACAATTTATTTTTCTAATTTTTCTTTCTCATTCTATTATACTTCCTTAGGTTGCCAAAAGGCTACACAAGTGTCGTTTTTCCATTTTACGTCTTTTAAATTACATTTTGCCTAATATTTTACTCTAGGATCCTTTATGGTATTTAACACCCTCAATTATTTTTCATTGATTCTTCCACTTTCAAACCACCACACAACCCATCTAAATACCATTTAATACAAGATACATCATTCAAACAATGTCAACAACACCAATTCCCCTCTTTTTCCCAATGGCCGAAAATTCAACATGGTGACCTCCAAGGGATTTCCATCAATTCCAATTACTCCACACCTCACACAATCCTATTATATAATCATATAATTATACCACAACTCACTAATCCAATCCCCATGCATTTTCAAAATTCAACGTCATGACACCTCAAAATTTTCTAAGTTAAACAATCATATTTTTCACCAAAAATTTTCATTGCATTTATAGCTAATGCACATTATTCTAAGACACATTCATGTACAAACTTTTTCCAATTGAGCTTTCTAAACACATCAATCACAAAATCCCCCTTTAGGGTTCAAGAAATCAATCACATCATTCAATCGTTTAAAATACAAGGAAACTCACCCAAATGCAAGGCACAAGGCTCCTCCTAACCATACTCCACCATTGGAGCACCTAGAATCTCCATGAACACAAATCTCTAAGCTTGAGACGCGGCCAAAAGGGAGGAATATCTCAAAATCTATTGGTTTTCAAGGCTTGGGAATACCACCAATGGCTTTAGAAGGCAATTTTCAACAAGTTTCAACACAAATTTTACTTGATTTGGTGCTTGGATGAGTGATTAATGGAAGGAGAAAGTTTGAAGAAAAACTTGGAAGGGAGAGGGAGAAGGGCGCGGGTTTCATAAGAGAGAAGGGAAGAGAAGATGGTGAATAGTGAGGGGAGGTGATGTGGCTTAAGTGATTTGAGTGGGGTGGGGCCCACCGCCACCTCACGCGTTTCAAACTTATTTGAATTTCCCTCTGATTCCACTAAACGTCCATAAATTTAAAACCTATTTAGAAACTATAATTTTTAAAATTAACCATTCTCCTTTAATTATACTTGATGAGGTGAATCTTGAGTTTTTCGGTCGTTCAGAGAAAACGCTGTTTAAGCTGTTGCACGCGTCGTTGGCACGCTTCCCCAAACTAACTTAATTCCATCAAATTTTATCAGAAATCATATTTCCTAGTTCTATAGACCATTTATAACTCATATTTGAAACCTAGAGCTCAAAGCTCACTCGACACGTTTTACGGTGCAATCGTACCGCGATATTTCGACCCGGTGAAACACTATTCACTGAATTTTCTGAAACTTGCCTAATCACTCAATTTTTCGTTCTGAATCCATTTCCAGTGTTATTTTTACCATCTGAGACCTCCTACTCAATTTTTATCTTCCTAGGGTTGCGTGTTGGCTAATTACCGTTTTGCCATGTCTTTGTATTTTGGCTTAATCTTCAGGATTTTCACTAATCCTTCACTTAATTACTCATTCAATATTTTAATACTTAAATTGCGAGGTGGTGTAGGGGGCTTAAGCCCTCTCTTTGAACATAAACTTAAAAATTCTCTGCCAGGGTGGGGGGCTTATGCTCTCAACCCCTATTTTAGGAAAAAAGCAATTATCTCTTGAAACATGTAATAGGGACCATCTAATTAGGTCTAATAAAGATAGTAAATGATGTAAAACATAATTTTAGTTATTCCGTAACTTCACACAATTATAATCACGAAATTGATAGATTAAATACGATCTTGTTGATAAAGGAAATGAGCAATGTTTTAAAAAGAAAAATTTATTTGTATTCTTAATTGAACCAATGTGATTGTAACTGCGATTAATATCATAAAATAATGATAACAAACCGGTTCTAGAATGAGTTACACAAGTTACATAAAAAAATGTTTAAAATCTTACTCATTTCTAATAACATGTCCAAACCTGAATTTGTTTAGAAAAATTGTTTGAAATAATTTTTTTATAGATATAATTTTTCGGGAAAGAAGATTATAAAATTGTTAAGATTGTTGTTTCATATTAATATTTGTTCATTTCAAGTTGGATCAGTTGAGGTATTGTTTCACATTCTTTTCTATAATGATTGAAGGTAATTAAAGGAGACTCTTCTATCCAATCCAATCAGGGAAAGATGTGGTGCAAGACTCGGACACTCAAGTCATGAGAAAATGAGAGGAAGCACACAAATAATCATGTTTAATAATATATATAATACTATATTATAATATAGTATTATATATAACCAGGGTATCAGCAGCTGATGAAACATTTTGGCAGTTGACTACTAGCACACCATTGGTCCATTACAATGTTTAATAATTCTTTAATACTATATATATATATATATATATATATATATATATATATATTGTACATAAAAAGTTCATATGAGGTTAGATGTTGTTTTCAACTAAGATTAGGACAAATCTCCCAATTTTTTTGAGATTTCTGGAAAGGATTACTAATTGTACCATTAAAAAAGTCCTCATATCAGCTAATTAGATTCGAATTCACGCTTTTGTGGAGTATATATCTAATCTTTAACTTTTGGTTTATGTTTACAAATACAAATTTGAAGAATAAACATTGATATTATACACTCAATTTGAAGGAACTTATGGACGTAAGCATGTCAAGTGTGCTTTTGTTGGTGCTTTGCAGGTAGCTTATTGCTTCTCTTGCATCACATTTCCTCATACTTGAAGAGTATAACCGTGACAGCCAACAAAAGGGGACACGGTTGATTAAGGATTTGATCAATATCTCTCAAAGACGTGAATTCAAATTCCGCTGGCCGATTTGAAGACTTTATTAGTTGATGATATATAATTTCTCCTGAAAATTCTCAAAGAGGTTGAGAGATTTTCCTTGACCCCAGTGAAATAATGGTATCTAACCCTACTTAAACTTTTTAAACTTTTCTTGTATTCAAAAAAAGAAAAAAGAGAGTGTAACCCATGTTAAGCCATCAGTTCAGGTGTTTGCATTTTGTAACTATTCAATTAATAAATAATCATTTTCCTCTATAAGAGTAAAATTCCACCATATATCTCTGTTTAGTATACTCTCGTAATTACAAAAATCCATTTAAACTGGACACAAATAAAATAACTGTAGAAAAGAAGGGTCCAACTGGCCCCAATGCGATCTCTTGAACTAAATCATAAAATCTTGAACCTTCAAAGAAAGAAAGAAGGGGGATGGGGTTGGAAATAAGGGAAGGGGAAAAAAATATCAATGCTGACAATGAATACTACAATTTCAATGCCTCCCTGAAACGAATGCTGAAGCTATTTTCTAGGCCCTTTTTACCAACCACAGGAAGATTTCCTTTCTGCATCATAGCCACAAATTCATTATAATCTATGTGACCATCCTGCATATGAAAAAACACAGTTGATATTAATCATCGTTGTATAGAAGCATCAAATTCTTGCTAGAAGGTGTTCAACTTTTTGGCAAGACAATGAAACATAGCAGCTACATTCTTTAAATTGTTCTTGTTCAGAGGAGAGAGTGTGTGTGTGTGATGAGTTTCGAAGTACAAACAAACAACAGAAACAACTGTGTCAAGATGCCACACTTAATGATGGACAAAATGAGTAGAAACAATGATGAATTGATGCCTCCCTTGATATTTTAATTTCCTTTTTTGTTATTGTTTTTAACTCGAATGAATTCTTTAAGAGAGGGCGAGCCTTGGAGCAGCAGTAAGAGTGCTCCTTGTGACCAGCAGGTCACGGATTACCCCTACTCTCGCAAGTTGGGAAGCCTTGTACACTGAGGTTTGCCATTTAAACCAATTCTTTAAAAGAAAATAAAATCCATTGTCAACTGCGATGAATCGCAAAGTTTCTATAAAGAAATGTTAAATATGATTCCATCAGGCCAACAGAAATAATTAGTGTTCCTATTAAACAAGAGGCAGGTGTCCATTTTAATCAGGTGAAGACTAGAGCTGAAGATATTAAGGAGGATTAAGCAAGAAAGAATAAGAAAGTCAAGTAGTTCATTTGTGCTCAAGAAATATAAGTACAAGGGGAACTGTATAGAATTATAAACCACTTACATTATCTTGATCAATTTCCTTGATTATCTCTTCCAATCGGACATCTTTTATGCCGAACTCATCACAAGCCTGTTGAAGTTCTTCTTGAGTAATATAGCCACTTCCATCTTTATCAAAGTAAGAAAAGGCAGCAAATAGATGATCTTCTCTTTCAATCTTGTTAAGATGCAATGTTGCCGCAATGAACTCGCCATAATCAATTGTCCCACTGTTGTCTATATCAGCCTACAATTTCAAGGTATATGTTAGAGATTTGAATTAGCCTATTAAATAAAATACATTACTTTAATCTATGATATAGCAAAAGTTAAAGAGACATCATAATCCTTCTTCGTCCAAATTTGATTTCATTTCTTCTGTGTTTTTAACTACCCAGTATATATGACTGAATATGGTAAATTTTCCGTCTAATATCAAAGTTCATGACTTTACGAATAAAAAAAATGATAAGACGTAAAAAATCATTTCAACCCGAAAGAATAAATTGTAAGGTGAAGACATATTAATGGTCTTATATTTTATATTATTATTTTTTAATACGTTCCCTCACATGAGGGTCTATTGGGCTTAAAGGGTGGACATAGACAATGCATAGAGTCAGTTACCTGTGCTTTTAATTATTTATGAGTAGAATGGGGACAATGAGGATCAAACTTGTGATCATTTGATCACCGAGGCCATACCATGTAAAGAATTATTTCACCTCAAAAACTTAAACGGTTAGGTGAAGACACATTAATGGTCTTATTTTTATATTATATTTCTCTAACAAATAGACTTGTCTTCGAGTTAGATGAAAAGGTTCTATGATTCTATCTATAATTAGTTCTAATAATAATAGCACGTGGTACTAGAACTGAAAACAATTGTAAAGTAAATCAGGGGGAAAGAGACTATTGCCCAATAAAAACATATAAGCAAGTGAAGCACCGGCACAATCCAAGTAACGAGCTGTTTCCATGTCTAAAATATGTCTGAACCAACACTCAGTTTGAACTTGAACTTGTACCCCTTTGAATAGTGCTTCTCGGAACATTTTTTATATGACACTTCTATAGTCATTTCAATGCATGTTTAAACTTAAACATGTACCAGATGTATTTTGGATATTTTTCAATGATGCTTTTGAGGCTCTCATGTTTGCTTAAATATATCAATACTTAAGTATTCAAAGGATTGCCCTCACCCTTATCTGTCATTGTGCTTTGACCATACACCGAAGTGCCAAATACTTTAAATAGGAACTCTATGCTTCTTTCATGAATGTTATAAGGAACCCATGATGAGCTCCCAACAAACGCAGACTAGAGTTCATATAATTATTATCAAAGTATTGTTTGTTTTACATTTTCATTAACTCAAGGTGAAAAATACACTTTCTATGACACTTTTATTTTTATAAGAAGCAAGTCTTTTTTCCTTATTTCTAATGTACCTTTGCCAATGTTCAAAAGCTAAAAGAAACAAGGCATTGTTAGATGCCCATATTCAGAACAGCATAATTAACCAAACTGGAAGCAATAGCCCTATATAGTATTCCTAGGTTCTAAAGAGAACATGTTATAAACCCTGCAAATACTAGGGTGTATGTAAATAGGAATGGGAAGGGTAGCAGGGAATTAAAAGCTCATATAAGTAGTGACTAGTGAGGTACATGTGAGGGATAATCCTCATGGAGATTTGCAATGTAACAACCTGCATGCATGGCAGGAGGGCAGGGAAGCAAGGGGTGAAATTGGTTAGGATGAGAAGGATAAGAGGGAGGGGAAAGGAGGGGATAATCTGAGGGTAGACAAGTATTGAGTAAGGCTGAGGAAAGGGAGGAAACAGACTCCCTCAAAGTGTCCACAGTATCCCTAGTTTTCTGTTTCTGTTTCTGTAAGTGTGAGAGTTTTCCTATCATTCTGTATATAGACATTCCCTCTGATGCTGATATTCTCCTGATTTTAGTAGAAGGCAGGGTTCACAGGAGTAGTTTCTATAAAATCATTTGTGTTTTCCAGTTTCTTATCATAACTTCACTTTACACTCTTGCCAAATGCTACATTATACTATTTGCTACAAATGCCAAGATCAAATCAACAAATGAATAATTTTAGGGAAAATATAATTATTATGTTGTGATCAGGAAAGTGTTATTGGTTAAGTAGTTATTTGCAGTGCACCCAAATTAGAGATGACAGTTATCTTCTTCTGTTTAAGTTAGAATTGTTCATTTATAATTACAAATTAACACTTGGAAAAAAAAAAACTAATGAAGAATCACTGATTACAATATTATGATCATGCCGACCTTCTAACTTCTAGGATGGCAGATCTAACTATTGAGGGCAAGAGAATTCATGTCAGAAACAGCCAAAATGAACCGTAAAAATTAAGACCAAGATTAATTATAGAAAGCTTAACTACTGCAAAAGATCTTCAGTATTCATTCATTTTGTTTATTAACATCTAACTAATACCACTTGTTTCTTTCTATTATATAAATTTGACTAAAAAAGATACTTACCGCATGCATTAAATCATAAATTTCAGACTCCTTAAGATTAGCACCCACTCTTTTCAAACCAGCTTTAAGTTCTTCAAAAGTGATTTGACCACTGTTGTCTGCATCTATCATCTTGAACATTTCTCTTAAGCCAGCTATTTCTTCTTCAGATAAGCTCTCTGCAATAATCTGAAAAATGCAAAGGATGATAAAATGAAAACTAGCAAATTATAAGTGTTAAGAGTATCAAGATGATATCGTATAATATTAAGATTATATCTTATTATAGTTTAGAGTATCCTCGAGGATCTCTTAGGACTAGTATCACTATTTTTTTATATATTTTTCATGATTTGTTTCCTTATATTAGGAGTCCTTTATTTAATATAAATAGGAATTCATGTTTTGTCTTTTGTAATCACTTCATAACACATCAATATACGATATTACTAAGTCTTCTACCTTTTCCTCCCCGCATAACTAAATTCCTATAATTTCAACATGGTATTGGAGCAATACCATCTTTTGTTACCTGTCGCATCACTTTTCTGCTGCCAAGTTCCCTAAAATCTCGAACTCTACGTCAACTACTTTTTTGTCAACCTTCTCTCAACAGTCTATCATATTCCGCTTCATCTATGGCCACCTCTATTGCCGTCAGCTGTTGCTGGAAATTTTCCCGATAAGATCTTCGTCCATTGGACCATAGATCAATGTCTAGCCCACTTATTGTAGTGAATTATTACTTAGCCCATTGATGGATGTCTCCCTAATCCCTTGACCGCCTGATAGTGGTATCATAGAACACAAAGTCACAGATGGGCTTCCACAGGTACTTTGGTGTTCATCTGGCCCTCTCCTCTGTTGTTCCAGTGTGCCCACAGTCTATCCTCATTTGATTTGCATTGCACTGAGGGGAAGAAGTTTGCAAGTTGTTATCTGGCCACGTCTGATTTTGTATGATGCAAGCTAGCCCTAGCTGCATTTTTTGTCTTCTTAACGTAGAACATTGTCTCTTCTTTAGTTTGTTAGCTTTGTTTCACAACTATCTTGTTCACTTGGCGAGTATTTTGTCAATTGTCACTATGACTATGGACGACAATGGCAGCAAAAAACCTCAAAGTCACAGATCCTTGTTCCCGGGCTCTCTGTCAATTCATCGGACAAACCTTTTTGACGAATTTCATTTTTCATGGTTTTTGCCCAATTAGCTTCACCATGAAACTCGAAAGTCGTTAACAAGTTCCATGTATTGTCCGATGAATAGACATAGAAAGGGGATTGAGATATGTGAGGTGTTTTGCTGCCATTGTTGTCCTTAGCCATTGTGACAATTGAACGAAAACCTCATCAAGTGAACAAGGAAGACAACCATGAAACAGAGCAAACAAATTAAAGAAGTGGCAAAGCTTGACACTAGGAAGACGAAAAAGGCGGATATGGCTAGCTTGCATCCAACAAATTCTGATGGGGATAAATTGCAACTAGCAAATTTCTCCCCTTCACAGCAGTGCAAATTAAACAAGGAAAAATTGTATGCTAGACAACTAAGCTGGGCTTGACCATGGTGCTAGCACTGCTCCTTGAATCTTCTAACCCTCAAAGAAGAGCATGGAACCTTCCTGATAGAGATTGGTGAAGCCACCACGGTTGGTGTCATCATTCAACACATAATAGCTTCCTTGTGGTGTTGTTATCAAATGAAACATTTGGCTAAAACTTAAGAGTGTGTTGTTTGCCAATGAGTTAGAGATCACCATCGTCGATTGCCAGCCCCCTAGTGTCAATGCCGGCATGCTCGTCTTTGTCAGTAGCAACCTCCAACTTGGTGGCAAACAACATGCTCATAAGTTCAGCCAAATGCTCCCTTTGATACCAACACTGTAGGGAAGCTATTATGTGCTGAATGACAACACCAACCATGGTGGCCTCGCCAATCTCTACCGGTAAGGTTTCATGCTCTCCTTCGAGGGTCACAAGATTCAGGGAGCTCAAAACATTGTCGCCAAGCTCACTTCCCTCCCTTTCCAGTAGTGTCAATCAACATCGTCGAGCCAGCCCACGCATCCAACGTTCCCACAGTTCACTTGGCTCAATTTGTTTAATTGTCACCATGGATAAGGACTAAATGGCAACAAAAAACCTCAAAGTCACAAATACCTATTTCCTTTTCTATATCCATTCATCGGACCATATAAGGACCTTGTTGACGAGTTTCATGTTGGTGGTGAAATTAACTGGGCAAAAGTCATGGAAAACATGTTGAAGGTGAAGAATAAATTAGGTTTGTCACAAGCTCCATTTTTTTTATTAAAGCATGGGGCAAGAAACAATTTGATTTTCTAGTTCGTAAGTTGGGCATTTGTTACAACCATGGTTCAACTTGAGGGGAAAAGTATAAGGATGTTGCCATCGAACCTCATCCCGCACATGCTTTGGTTGGGTATCCTATGTTTTCGTGTGGTTGAAGCTTCCAATTGTTGTTCTTGATGAATTTGGAGGTGAAGTTTTAAGTTCTTGTTGTGTATACTTGCTTGCCAACACATTTTCACTGATGATAATTCTAGCAAAACTTGTTCTTCCTTTTCAATCAACTCTTTAAGTTTATGTTTATTCCAGCCATCTTGCTCAGTTTCGTTTCGAGCAATGTTCATCTCCCCGACATCTCCAACATCCTAGAGTTTCCTTTCCAACCATGCTTTGTGAAGCCCAAATTATCTTATTTGGTTATTTTTCCATTTTAAGGGGTTTATTTGTAACAAGCTTAAAGCTTAATAAGCTTTAACTTGAGGGGGAGTGTTAGAGTATCTAGATAATCTCTTAGGATTAGTTTCACTATTTCTTATTTTAGGAGTCCCTTATTCAGTATAAATAGGGATTATTCAGTCTTCTAAACAATAACATCATATTTTCACTTTCACCTCAGAAATCCATAATGCAAAGATTCCAATCTGAAACATGTAGTGTAAGTATCTTCGTACTCAATGCTATGTATCAATATCAAGTCCGAATCAAATAACAAACGACTTTCAAGCTTCCACAACAAGAGACTTACAATAAGAGCCATTTTCTTGAGCTTGTTCATAGCAGAAAATTGCTTCAAGCGACTTAATACAGCGGAATCAAGTGGGTGGTCAGGAGCTACACCATCAACTTGAATCCAAGGATGACCTGCAGGAAATTAAACATAAATAAGCAAGAAAAAACAGAGTTTTCCATATTATTTCAAATTTGGCAAAAATAATTGTAAAATTTACGTCCAAAGTAACTAGCTTGGGCTTTTCTATATAGCATAGAAGTGTTAAATTCATAATACCAAAGAATAACTATTATACTTCCCTTATATAATAAGAAGAAGCCCCATCAATCTGAGATAAAAATAGGGTATACAATCCATGCCCAAACATCACATATTGCCGTGAAATTATTTTAATGCTAAAATTATGCTAATAAATGTTTCTATTAGTATATACATATATGTTAGAATGTTTTAATCTTTGAAAGTATGTCAATATTAGCACTTGATCTAGATATTTATGTCAAATCTGTTATACTTCCTTTTCTAATACAAACAGCATTATAAACAATTAAAATGAACTGTTATACCCTAAAGAAAATGTTGCCTTTATTGTTACTTCCAACTTTCAAAAAAGATGATCAAAACATGTGTAATTGCAAATTATAGATCCAGTTGCAAAATATGCTATAATATGACATGTGAAGAACATGGTTAGGAAGTTAAGTTAAGACTCAATACACAAATAAATCTTTTAATACTTAGCACTTCTAGGTTACTGAGACTTTTCAATGTTAAAGCATATAAGACTTATATACTAAAAGTTATGTAAGGTAAATGTTTGTGAATATAGCCATTTTTCCCAGGTAGAAGCCCGGTAGCTATTTTACATGGCTAGATTATGATGATTTTTGCCTCCAATTTTACGGTGAGAGGGGAGAGTCAAGCATGGACTAGAAGACCTTCGCGTCAAAAGTGACTAACATCCACTATCACAACAAGATTTTGCAAACCACAAAATTTAAACCAGTTTTGTTCAACTAACTCCCACATCCTTGCAAAGACCAAATTAATGACAAGATCATGACTAAATATTCAATTAGTAAAACTATACTTACATAATACTTGATATGCAGTCATCCGCCTTCTAGGGTCGCGAACAAGCATTTTCCTTACTAAATCTTTTGCACTTTCAGAAATTCCAGGCCAGGGATCTGAAGTGAAGTCAAGATCACCATGCAGAACCTGTTCAAATATTCCTTGTTCGCTTTCTACACAACCATTATGAGCATACAAAGAGAGAGAGAGATAGGAAATTAATAATCAGAAAAACATAGGCATAATTTATAAAACCAGAGGTCAAAATTATATAGCCCTAATTTATCCAAAAGATCTCACCAGCCCAAAATGGAGGCACTCCACTCAAAAGAATGTAAAGGATAACCCCAGCACTCCAAACATCAGCTTCAGGACCATAACGCTTTCGTAAAACTTCTGGAGCAACATAATACGGGCTGCCAACAACATCAGTAAATACATCACCTGCAAGCAAAATATCATCAGTTTTTCTCCGTCGAATCAATTTACTACAAACTGTATGAAGGTTCATTTAAAAAACCACATGTGTGTGACACAATGAAGCCAGTAAAATACTTGAAACCTGATAAAGTATATTTGAAAAAAATATGATTTTCAATTCAAGTGATTTTATTGATCTATTATATACACTAGAAATAAATGAAGAAGGAATTGAAAAATTAACAGCACCTCTGATTGAACACTAACTGTTATATATACACAAGTCTATTAGATGCATACCTACAAAGTTGCAGGCTTGACAGGACAAATCAAAGACACATACATTCTAAATTTAGAACCCAAAACTAGAAATATAGTAGTCTATTACACAGTTGTCCTCCCAAGAGCTTGCAGCACTCTAGCAAGTAATGCTTACATCCGTCCTCAAAAACTAAGGACTTTCTGCTGTTGCTAGGAAACTAGAGTATGGAAGATGGAAAAGTCTTCAACACTTCAGATATTTCACATAATCAACAAAAATTATTGAGCCTTTTGGACACTATAAAGTATGTAGGTATAAACATGGTTAACAAGTTCAAACACAAGCAATAGTACAGCAATGCATATCCTCGAATTTCAAGCAGATTAAAATATTTACTAAAATATTAATCCAGTTAGCATATCTTGAAATTCAAGACGATTGAAGCCTGCAGACCAAGTTCAGCTGTCAATGGTATCTCCATCCACACCCATTCTCCCATTCTTTCTGAATTATGCTTCTATTCATATAAAATTTCGAAAAGATAACATTTTGGTCTTCAAAAGATATGTTTTTTTCCTCAATTTGGCGCCTCAACTTTTAATTTTATCAATTTAGTCTTTATAAATGTTTAAATTCATCACAACTTGACCATGTCTATAGAATCTTTAATGTTTCAATTCATCTCAATTTGCAAGTGCTGTACACATTGTGTACCATTTTGTAGACCTTGCGTCATAAATGTGCAACGTAAGACCAAATTGAGATGAAATAAAACTTTTAAGGACTCAATAAATTGGATTAAAAGTTAAGGGAGGCAACTCTCAAGGACCAAAATGGTAACTTTCTCTATATTTACTTAATCTCAATACTATAGTATGAGCATCAGAAAATACCTGGCTTAAAGAACACAGATAATCCAAAGTCAATGGTTTTGAGAAGTGAATCCTCTTGCTGATTAACAAAGAGAAAATTCTCAGGTTTAAGATCTCTGTGCATCACACCTAGAGAATGACAAGCTTCCACAACCCCAACTATAGTCCTAATAAGGTCAGCAGCTTTTCTTTCAGTAAAATGCCCATGATGAATAATCCTATCAAAAAGCTCACCACCTGCACATAATTCCATCACAACATGAACAGCCACCGCATCCTCATAAGCATCTTTGATGGCTATAACATTAGGATGCCCAGACAAGTGGTGCATTATCTGAATTTCTCTTCTCACATCCTCAACATCATCATCACTTACCAGCTTCCTCTTTGCAATAGATTTACATGCAAACTCATGTCCTGTTGCCTTCTCCACACACAAGAATGTTGTCCCAAACTGGCCCTGTCCAAGTTTTCTCCCCAGACTGAAGAATTCCTTGAAATTACCAGTTTCTCTTAGTAACACGGAATCGACACGAAGTCCTGCACTAGAAACTCTCTTCACAGAACCGGGTTTCTTCGGTTTCTTCTTCTCCTTTTCTGGTTCCTTTTCCGATTTTGCCTCCTGTTTTGTTTCTGGTTTCGCTTCTGGTTTGGGCATAGTTATCTGCTCAGGAGGTTTGCTTTGGACAGGCAAGGGTGATTCAGGCTCATTAGTTGTTTCCTCATTTGCAGATTCTCTATTAGACACTGAACCTTCAGGCAATTCAGATCGCCAAAATGCTGCAGAAACTGATTGAATAAAACCATTTTTTGAAATGCTAGGACCAACACAATTGTTCCCCATATTGCTTCACACAGAATTATTTTTTGTGCAAACAATTGGCCAACTTTCATCACTCGGATCTAAAGCCTACATCATCTGTTAACACAATAAACAAGATCTATATATGAACTTCAAAGTTCAAATCCTTAATAGTATGCATCAAAGTCAAACCCAATATATTATACCAAAAATTTGGTACAAGCAACAAATCCAAAGATTCAATATCATCCAACAAAAAAAGAGTGATATGTTGGACGAAGAAAGAAGAAAGATTCAATATCAAAGTGCTAAAAATTCAAAGAATTATTAAAAAGCAATGAACACCCTAGCTAGTAAAATGAAAAAAGAATCAAAATTTATGGAATTTTAAAAGCACCCCTTTTCAAAAAGATGCATCAAAAGAACATGAATCGCATATTAAAAATACTAAAAAGAAGCTCAAAAAAGAAGAGAGAGATTCAAACACCAAAATAGAAAATAAAGGATACCCAGTTGAGAGAGAAGTGAAAAAAAGAGAGAGCAAAGGATAAGAAGTACCTTGAGTTTACCAAGTCAGTTGAGGTTTGATTTGATGAATGGTTGTGTTGTGTTGGAAATGGTGGACTCTGCTGAGAAATTGGTTCGTTTATATCTAAGTTTTTGGTTTTATATTTTAATAATATAAAGACATAGGATGTTTGTGCATCTTAGTGGGGGAAGCGAGAAAAACGCGTTTCGGTCTGAAAGGAATTCAATGGATACACTAATCCCGGCCTTTGCGCTTTGATTGTGTTAGCTTTGTTTCTGTGTGGTTTGAGGATAAGTTGAAGTAGAGTTAGACATTGATATGTTAGTATTTTTTATTGGGAATAGGAATATAATATCCCAGAAAATAATAGTAATTTATAATAATAAAAAATTAATAATAATATTATAAATTTAATAATAATAATAAAAATAATAAATTATAAATTAGTAATATATATATATATATATATATTTATATTTGGTAGGGGTAGATAATAAATTATAATATAAATTTTATCATAAAATTATTTTTTGTGCGATATGAGTGCTATTGGAAATTGATTTTGATACTTTATAATACTTCAGATTATTAATAATAAAATAATATATATATATATATATATATATTTATATATATATTAGATGATAAATTTATTTATAGTTGAAATTTTGTGCTCGGATATGAGTTTCGTGTAATGATTTCCTTATTCTTTATTGATGTATCTGACTCAGATATTGGCTTCATACACTATTTATTTTTTATTCTTAATTTCTTATGGCTCATAATATAGCTAACTTATTTGCTAACTCAAGGCTGACTCATGATTACTCATTATATCTAATCAAATTACTAATCAAACATTACCAATCAAACAATCAAACATTAAAGCATAAATGATCAATCAATTAATAGTTCAATTAATTATAATTTATCATCTAATATATATATATATATATATATATATATATATATATATATTATTTTATTAATAATAATCTGAAGTATTACAAAGTATCAAAATCAATTTTCAATAGCACTCATATCGCACATATATCGCACAAAAAATAATTTTATAAAAGATAAAATTTATATTATAATTTGTTATCTATCACCATCAAATATAAATATATATATATATGTGTTATTATTACTAATTTATAGTTTATTATTATTATTATTAATTTTTTATTATTATAAATTACTATTATTTTTCTGAGATATTACAAGGAAATATCCTTCAATTTTTTTAAGAATTTTTAAGAGGATTATTATATATCACCGATCAATAAAATTCTCGCATCGGCCACCGTCACTCTGGGATAATTTAGATGATTATATTGTTTATACAAAATTTAATATAAAGTTAATATAAAATTTATTTTTAAGTTAAAGTTAAAAAAAAATAAAGTTACAATTTATTTGTTTTTTATATGAAAATTTTAGTTTAAAAGTTATTCTACAGTTAAAAACAACTTCTATAAACTTTGTTTCTAATTAAAATTACTAAAAAGGTGTAAAAACATTTTTTATTTAAATAAACACAAATATGATAAGAAATAAAGAATAAACATTTTAAGGATACTTTTTTTCTCTTGTTTTTAAAAAAAATGAAGATTTAAAAGAGGGAAAAAATGAAAGAATGAATAAAACTTTCTTATTAGAATAGAGTTTCATCTTAAAAGGTTTGTACTCAAATAAGTGGAAAACTTTTATTAGTAAACACCAGCATGGCTAAAAAATTGCGTACAAAAATCAGTAAAGGATATGAAATAACAAAATTAATTATAATCCCTTATTAGAATTTGATATCAGCTAATTATGTGAGAGGAGAGAAAACCCTTATTCCTTGATGCATACGAATTTTAAAACCAATTACTCATAATTTTTTTTGTTTAATATGAAATTATAACCTAAAATACAGATAAGAGATGAACTGAAGACAATCTTATATGCACAAAACTCTCTCGGGGACAAAAACCATGTTGGTAATATTCATAGCATTTTGGAGGAGAGGAAGAGATCAAATGATTTTTCATTAGGGTAGAGGGCAAAATTTGTAAATATAAATTTAAAATAAAGATATAGCTAGAAAATAAATATAAAAACTGTGAAAAAGCTTACGTAGATCTTAAAAAACACTTGGGAGCGTTTGGTTGAAGAGAAATTTTTTGAATACTAGGGAAATATAATTGATAGAGAAATGGTTAGAAAGTGAGTTTGGTAAAAAATTGTAAAAAAAGATGTTTGGTTGAGTAAAATATTACTGAGAAAAAGTTATAAGTGGTACTGTGCATATGTTGCTTTTTGCCATTTACCCAGCTTTCTCCCAAATACCATGTTAGAAGTGGGTAAGTTGAACAGTACTTTTCATCCATTTTTACACACAATTATGAAATGATGGGGAACAAAGTTAGCTAGAAAAATTTTGTAATTTTTTTTACCAAACATGGATAACACAAAAATCCAATCTCATATACCTAGATATCCTTACAAAAAACTCCAACCAAACACCACCAGGAGTTTTTAGCTTTTATTTTTATTCATTATAGAAAAAAAGGTTTTTTCTCTATAATAATAATTTTTATAAAAATGTATTTGACTAAGATTTTCCTTTTAAGAAGAGAAGTTAAGAAAAAGATTCGGGGCGCTTAATCCAAAAAAAAAAAAAAAAAAAACTAACGTGATGCGTAAAATGGGAGATCAGTTCATATTGGTGTAAAATGTAATATTCACCATTTGATAACTTCACATGGAATGTAATTTTTTATTGTGTTGTAATTATCTATTAAATTGTTTATTTGTGCCAAAACAATAAATATATATTCAATTGCTCTTAATTTCATATATTTCAAAGAGTATATATTATATTAAATTTGATATATTTTAATGAAATACTAAATAATTTATATCATGTAATATTTTATAAATATAAATTAATATATAAGAACTTTCAATTCAGCGGTAAATTTTGAGATATAAATAATCAATAAAAAATTATCAAATAATATAGGGAAAACTTGGTAGCTTTCTAACGACAAATAAGGAATACTTGCATTAATGTAAATAATTTGATAAAAAATTATCAAATTATATAAGAAATGCTTGCAATAATATAAAAGAATATCAAACCCTTACTAGCCATGTAGCTTTCTAACTATTAATAGCAACTAGTTTTGGTTGAAAACTTATATATGCTCATTTATTACACCTCTGTAAATCTAGGACGCTATTGAATCATTATTTGAACATTTCTTGACACTTGATAGATTCCATTGATCATACACTTGTGTAATATATATTTGATCCTTTAAGCTCATTTTGTTATAAATCATATAACGCTAGTGCTTCAACTACACTTTGAGATAGTGCCTACTCAATTCCAAATACATTCCTCTTAGTATTCTTGAGATAAAGGTTAGAGAAACCCTTAAGTGGTTGGGAGCTAGCATATTACCTAGGAAAATTTGCCAACTCATAAATATGATGAAAGTTACAAGGTTACTGGGTACATGGAAACTTGATGGTTATTGTCTTGTCTATGTGACAGAGATGTCTAGCCAAGCACTAGTAGATCAATATAAGATTTTGTGCTCTCTCTAGATACCTATGAATTAGGTATCTTGGAGGTAGCAAATCACCGTACACAATTGTAAGGCCTTAGCCAAAAGGTAGGGGTGTGTGTGCACAGTTATCACATAATAATAATAGAGAGAGATTAGTTCATGTGAAACCAATGCACTCAAAATGAATAGTACAATTATACAAGAGTTTTAATGATAACAAATAAGCTTGAAAGCGACTTCAAGGATAATACAACTCATAACAATCAAAAAGTCCAAGGAAGGAATTCAACAAGACAATAGAAGCAAAACCATCAACATACATGATCAAGATATCATTGGGGCTTAGATCTAAATATAAAGGTAATTTATTAATGATGTTTAAATGAGCTCAAATGATACTTAATCATGTGCATGCATTATCCATGACACTAATCACTTGAAATATTTTGAATAACTCATGAAAAAGACCCTTGACACATATTGTAACCTCAAAACAACTTTATCAAGTCAAGGAATTGCACTAAAAATGATTAGAGACAAGATTGGAATGCTTTGCAACTCAAAAATTGCAATACTTAAGTTCTGCCAAGAAAGTATTCGAATACTTTCTTGACTAGTATTCCAATACTTGTGCTGAGAACAAAGTATCTGAATACCTTATGAAAAGTATTTGAATACTTCACGAAAAATATTCGAATACTTACTGTGCAGTAAGCATTCCAACGGCTATAAACGGCTAGTTTCGTACCAACACCTGTATAAACTCATTTATTACGATTCAAAAGAACAAAAATCACTGTTCCATCGATTTTACAATCATTCTTGATTATTCTCATTGAATCAAACACATTCATTACTTGTTCTTACTCATATTGATCATAAAACTCCTTTGAGCTTCATTCTTGTGTTATTGATCAATACTCATAAGCTTCAACTTGTATAATATATACTTTAAGAGTACAAATCCAATTCTAAACACTCTCCTTCTGTTTATTTGAGTTGAGGGTAGTGAGACCCTAGTGAAAAGGTTGCTCATACCGTAAAAGTGAGATTTATGCTAAGTGGGTTTATGGGAACCCTTTAGTAACTTAAAATAAGTAATGTATAATAACCCTAATTATGTAATTTTTAAATTAGAGGGTCATAATGAGGACCTTATGGTCATAAATGGAATGAGAATGAATTTTTAAGAATTTGGATACCCATATTGAGGGTATTCCAGTCAAGTGAATTTTCATCTGATGTTTTTGACTGCTGACGCAGTAATAAACTGTAGAATAGCTCCAATACAGTGAATTCAAGTTAGAAAGCTATCCTAATGATATGAATATCATAAATGATGTAAACATAAGATTTGATGAAGTTTGATACCTATATTGAGGGTATTCTGAACAGTTGAGTTTTCACCTGTTGTTTTTGACTGCTGACGCAATATCAGTCTGTAGAATAGCTCCAATCTAGAAAATTATAGTTAGAGAGCTAATCTAATGATATAAACATTATGAATGAGGTTAGGATATGATTTGATGAAGATTGATACCCATATTGGGGTATCTTTGAAAAGTCACTTCTGCTAGGTATTTTGTACTGCTGTAGCAGCAGCCGGTAGAATCCCGAAACGGGAAAAAGATGAGAAAA